ATGATGACGCAATTTCCAACAGTCGAAACTGAGCCTCGACGAGAGCCCGAATGCACCATGCGTCTCCCACCCGCCACCTAACGATTAAGTAGTTTCGACACTAGCTCCGAAAAAGAAATCGCTGACATCTCCCCGAGGGGGGCGCTGCCCGAAGGCATGGGGATCGAGGAGTTGACATCGCTTGCCTGGCGGTGTTCGTTGGAATTCCCGCGGAAGCTGTCGAACGTAAAACTGAAGTGGATCAGCCCAGCCAGCGGACGCTGGAGGGCGGTTGGCGAAAGCTGGCGGAAGTAAAATATGTCGGCCCAAGAGGTGCCAACGTCATTGGCCCAGGGTGCCCCAGACGGTTGGAATGTCTCGAGCGCGCGAACGGCCCAAGAAGAGAGAGCGAGAAATACTGAGGGAAGGGAGGGAAGGAGGAGAGCTAGGGCGGAAGAAAGGAAGGGTGAGAGAGAGGGGGCATTGAGGAGAGGAAGATGAAGAGCGTAAGCACGGAGAGGACGAGGGGGAGGAGGAGCACGAGATGAATAGAATGGAGGGGAACACAATGAAGAGGAAGGGCGAGGAGTAAAGATGAGAGGGGGAGATGGAGGGACGGGGCGTGAGAGAGCCACAGCTCTGCGGCTAGCCAGGCTCGCGGCTAGATGAACGACCTTGCGAGGAACAAGTGCCTCGAGGACGGATTCATCCAGGCCGCTTAAGTCATCTGTGACCGCGCGCGCTCTTCGGCGCAGCTTCTGAGGGCGGAGGGGGGAACTCTCGGGATGAAGCCAGGGCTAGAAACCAAGGGGCCAGGTCCGAGAAACTCAGGAGCAGGGGCTGAAAGCTCCAGCCGTAGATAGCTCAGGCAGCGGGGCGAACAACCGAACCCGTGGCATTTTAGGCCGGTGCTGCATGAACTCTTTCGCAATTCAAACTGGCAGGGGACGTTAGCACCCACGTCGCTCCTACTGATTCCTACGGGGTCGCGGGAACCCGTAGGAAACAATAGGAACGACCTCGGCCGCACTCAAAGCGAGCATCCTGATGCGAGGTGCGCTTCAACGCAGGCCCCGTCCGCAAAACGCCACTGTGCTGGTACGCTCGTCTTGGGTTGGGCCGAAACGATAAGAAGTCAATCCCCCTGTTGGTCGAGTCTCCGGCCGCTGCCGCACCGCTCAAGTAGGATAGGGAATTTTTGCGATCGACAGCGAGCGCCGCTGCACAAGCCGCAGCGGCGAACGAGAAAGTTGGCGAGGCGCGAAGGGATACCAGGGCGGCAAGAGGAGGAGGAGGAGGAAGAGGAGGAAGAGGAGGAAGAGGATGAGGGGAGGAGGAGGAGGAAGAGGAGGAGGAGTGGGAAGAGAAGGAGGAGGAGGTGGAGGAGGAGGGGCAGGAGGAGGAGGAGGAGAGGAACACGATGGGGGACGAAGGCAAAGGGAACGTGACACGGCAGAAACCTCGGACGGTTCGAGAACGAAGAATGCTGGCGGAGCGGCGCCAGCCGTCTTGAATGTAAGCGCGTCGCCCACCAAACCTTCTTGCGCGGCGACGTCTCATGCGGAACGATCGCGGACACCAGGGCCCCATTGAAGTCCACGGCGGCGACGCTCGGGCTCAACGAGAGAGGGGGAGATAGAGAGAGAGATAGCAGAGAGAAAGAGATGGAACGCGAAAGTCCATATCATAAAAGGTTTGGTGGACGTTTAAGGTTTGCTGTCCTCTTCCAACTTCCTCTCCTACTTCTCCTTGTAGCAGTTCCTGCTCCTGATTTTCCCTGCCAGCCCCTGCCCTGAAATCTTCCTGGCAGCCCCTGCTCTTACTTCCCCCCGCCAGCACCTCACCCCTCTTCCACTTCTCCCTGCCAGCCCCTGCTCGTGAAAAATGCGCCCTGAGCAGCGAGATCGCGTGCCCGATCGCGTGCGAGCAGACGATTTTTGACTATAGCTACTCTACAGTTGACTCTCAGTATGTAAGGCCAGTCCCGATGGCGCGCGACGAAACGAGGTGGAGAAATCGAGGGAAACGAGAGGACATACAAGGTGAACTGAGTTCGCCGAGACGGGCGCCCGACAGGAGGAGGACGAGGAAGAAGAGGAAGGAGGAGAAGGAGGAGGAGGAAGGAGGATGAGGCGAAAGGAGGAGGATGAGGACGACGAGGAGGGGATGTCAGGAGGATGGGCGTCCTGCGCAAGGATCGCTCCGATTGTGCGGTCGAGGCCCAAGTCCCTGTAGCGATCGCGATCCTTCGAATGCCATGCACAATCTCCTCTGCATGGTTCCGTCGCAAACGACCCACCCCTCATGCCATCGATCGTGCCCCCGTGAATCCCCTCCCCCCTGTCTCGCATCCACTTGATAGTGGGCGAGGCATTTGGGGGGGCGCACGATCGAGCAGCAGAGGGGAACGTGGGACGGTCGCGACGCGCCCGCGCGCCTCGACCCAAGTTAGTGGATGATGCCACGCAGGCCATTCATATAGCCACGAGCACAGTAACAGAGACATCTGGGGCCATCTCGGACGCCTGAGCCTGGTGCCCAGCGTGGCGAGGCAGAGGAGATACCCCCTCTGCCCCGCCACGCCGGGCATCAGATGGAGCGCCCCAGGATTCCATGCATCGCGGTGCTACATAGCAGGCTGCCAAGGCCCGACGCATTGGAACGGCCGCCCAGCGATCGGCGCAGCCCTCGACGAAGAGCTCGAGCACTCTATTGGGTAGGTCGTTCGAGGAGCTCGGACACGAAAGAATGCGCCCACGCGAGGAGTGCCGCGCGGGCAGACGAAGCAGCAGGGCGTTGGACGCGGCTCTCGCCTCAGCGCCGAACGCAAATGGACGGCGACAAACACGTTTGAATGTGGCTCCCGTCTCGGCGCCAAACGGACGCGGATGTCAACGGGCGCGTTTGCTGAATACTGGATGGCTTTTTCCTCTGTGGAAATAACCGAATGCCCTTGCATTGACGTCGAATACAGGCGCCACGGCGCCCTGGGAGACGAGGAGGATAATGAGTAAAGGGAGGATGAGGAGGGCGAGGAGGGGGAGGAGAAGGATGGAGGAGGAGGAGGGGGAAGGGGGAAGGAGGGGAGGAGGAGGAGGAGAGAGGAGGAGAGGGAGGAGGAGGAGGAGAGGACCAGGAAGGGGGGAGGAGGGACCAGGAGGACGAGGAGCTAGCTGGGGGCGGGCGTAAGCCGCCCCAGACCAGCGGCACCCATATCCCCTCCTCCCTCTCCCCTCCCCCCCCCCCCCTCCCCCTCCTCCTCCTCATCCTCCTCCGCCTCCTCCTCCTCCTCATCCATTCCTCCTTCTCCGTCTCCTCATCCTCCTCCTCCTCCTCCTCCTCCCCTCCGCCCCCCCCCCTCTCCCCCCCCCCTCTTCCCCCCCCCTCCCCCCCCCCACCCCCTCCTCCCCCCCTCCCCCCCCCCTCCTCCTACGCCCCCCACCCCGCATCCGCCCCCCCCCCCGCCCCCCATCGCCCTCCCCCCCCCTCCCCCCTCGCCTTTATCGTCCTTTTCCTCCTCGTCTTTCCTAAGTTGTATATTTATCCGCCTCCCCCCCCCCCCCTCCTCTTTCCCCCCCCCTCCCTCCCGCCCCCCTCCCCCCCTCATCATCATTATCCTCGTCTTCGCCCCCTACTTCTCCTCCACCTCCCCCTCGCAATCAACCGCTGTGTCATCGCCCGACGCTGTCCGCGCTGGCACCCGATGTCCTGCCAGATGGCCCTGCCTGGGTTTTGAAACGCGCCTGCAAAAACTTCTAGTACGAGGAGGAGGAGGACCAGGAAAAGGAGGAGGAGGAGAAGGAGGAGGAGAAGGGGGGAAGAAGAGGAGGAGGAGGAGGGAGGGGGGAAGAGGAGAGCGATCAGGAGGAGGAGAAGGAGGAGGAGGAGGAGGAGGAGGTCGGAGGAAGACAGGCGGGGGGGGGATACTGAGGAGGAGGAGGAGGAGGAGGAGGAGGAGGAGGGGGAGGGGCGGACCAGGGAGGAAGGATGTAAATAAAGAAGGAGGAGGAGGGGCAGGAGGGCGTTGGGGGGAGGCGGAGGAAAGGAGAGGAGAGGATGATAATGATGAGGAAAAGGAGGGAGAGGGGAGAGGAAAGGAGGAGGAGGAGGAGGAAGGGGAGCGGAGAGGAAGAGGGGGGGGGGAGGAGGGGGGCGCGGAGGAGGCAGAGGAGGAGGAAGAGGAGGAGGGGGGGGGGCCACGTGAGGAGGAGGAGGACGAGAGGAGAAGGAGGAGGAAGGGAGAAGGGAGAGAGGAGGAGGAGGAGGAGGAGGAGGAGGGCGAGGAGGAGCAGGAAGAGGACCAGGAGGAGGAGGAGGAAGAGAAGAGAAGAGACGACGAGGAGAGAGGAAGGGCGGAGGAGGAGGGGGAGGAGGAGGAGGAGGAGGAGGAGGAGGAGGAGAAGCGCTGGGCCCCTTCTCTCCTGATCCCTCTCCTTATGTTTCCGCCGGCGCCCAGTAGGCGCTGGGTTCCGCGGGCGTGCTGGTGAGACTATTGTTTTGTTTTAAAATGAGCAGTTCTGTATGTCCCCTTTCTTCCTTATTTTTAACATCAAAAATTTAAGCCTAAAAATAACTTTTTTTTCCCTCAAATAGAGTTCAAAAAAAGTAAACCTTTAAATAATGTTCTCAGACCCTCAGGGTTAAGGTCGTCTAGTGAGTAGCGAATCCATCGGCCATCGGCTTCCACCTTCGCCAGGTTGAGAACGTCCAAGTCGACCCGCGATGTCTCGCTGTATGCGACGAGATTCCCGCACGGCTCTTAGAACTGGTCCGTCTCCTCTCCCCAGTACTTCCCCAGCCCAACGAACTCTGCTGTCGCGAGCAATCAAGAAGATGCTCGACGAGCAGCCTTCGACTGTTGCGGATCTCTCGTATCTGGTCCTTCTACCGAGCACTTCAGACGCCGTCGCGTCTCGCGGAATGCCCCGCGAGCGTCGCGCCGGGCGGGGCCATGCAGCTTTTTCCTTCTTCGCCGACCCCTCGATCCTCCAGAGAGGCGGCATGGCCGTCTCGCGCCCCGTCTACCCCGTCTCCTCCACGGGGCGAAGAGGGCCTGGATCCACGACGGCTGCGAAGTCGAGCTCGAAGTGGCCACCAGCAGAAACCCTGGGGCGGTGCAACCACAGCCCCATGGCGCGCGTCTGCGGCGACGCGGCGAAGGAAAGGCGGAGGGCAGTCCTCACCAAATTGAAGGCGGGGGCAGCAATACTGCTTGCTCTTCTCTGCGCCCACTGCCCGAAAGCCCCCCAGTTCCGACAGCGGGAAGAATCTGGAAGACGCACGCGACAGCCAATCCGTCACCAAACAGGCCGCCCTCGCCTTCAAATAAAGACCACGCATAACTCTCGCAGCCACATGCCGCCCAGAACGCTGGGGCAACCACTTAAATCAGGTAGATCACTTTGACCCAGGCGGGAGGCTGTTCAAACCTCCTCGCACCGACGTCAGCTGCCTAGTCCTGCGTCGGGCAGCACGCCAAGTCGACAAGGCCTCTCGCAGACTGTTCCACCACAGCTGCTGCGCGAGTCCGCGGCACACGCATAAACTGTTGCGACCCCCCGGCCTTGCAGACTTTCAGGACTGACTGCTTGTCCTCCGTGAGCTCCCCCATGCACGCGTCCCCACGGCGGCGCCGCAGGCAGTAGCTCTCGGCGCACTGGCTCGTCTGCCGGAACAATATCTGCCTCGAGGGCGTCGTGAGAGGTAGCGGTCTGACGCCCCGAACTGCAGCTCTGTACGGCCAGGCGCTAGGCCCCCACAACTTCTGGGCATCAGCACTCGTGCTCCGACGTGTCCTGATGTCATTGGCCAGGCCCGCGCCCGCGCATTGCTTTAGCCAGACGTCCGCGGGCCCATCGCCGACCCAAGACACCACGCGGTAGCGCGGCGTTGCCTCTATGTAGCACATGAAGCGGGGAAACTCAATGTCCCGCTGTTCTGTCCACTTGGTAAGTCATGATGCCAACGCGCACGTTGCGCGAGGTAAATCGCATCTGGCCATCCTAGCGCCATAGAAATCTCCACGAGCACCTTTGCCGCCATCGGCCGAAGCACCCCCGATGGAGCCGGCGGCCGAGGATTCGAGGATGCGCCTTCCGCCATCGGGTGCCCGCCAACAATTGGCACCTTGTCTTCAGGACACAAATTTGCATCAACCCATAAACACTCCGCTATTGCCTCCTCGGCAGGAGGGGCCCTGCCCCCTCGGGGGCCACACTGCCCGCCCTCTAACCTTGTCATCTCAGGGCCGCAAGAAGCACCAATTAACGGGTACTTCTCAGGGTCCGCATCTGTCAACTCCGCGTGGAGCTTGACTCAAAATGCGGCGTAGTCTTTCGCGTCACATTCCATCACCTGCACCTTTCCTTGCGGCCCCGGTACGTGGGGCTCTCTGGGCACCTCGACCTCGGTGTCGCTATCATAGTCAGCGGTCACCTCGGCTGGTCCAGCGGGCGCGAACAAGCAGCTGAGGTTCCCATTCGCAAAGGAATATTGCACCTCGGGACAGCAGGGGGCGGCGCATCTGTCAACGCCCCCCGGACGGTCTGCATCGTCGCCCGTGGATCGACAGAAAAACAACGTCGCGATACCCCTAGGGCCCATGGTACCCCCCGGAACGCCTGCGTAGATCCTCTCCCCGCTTGCTTCCTGAGGGCGCACGAGGTCCTCGACATCCCCCCACGCATCATAGCCATGGCTCCGCGCCGAACAACTGAGCGTCAATCAGGCCCGGATGTTCGCGCCATCAGCATCGCCCCACCGGCGCAGGCGGGTCCATCTCGATGCCGTTGGGCGCGACTCTGAAGAGCTCAGGACGAGGCACCAGCCTTTCCGCGCGTTCCGGCTAAGCCGGCCTGCTTGCAGTCACCCGCGCATACCATTAGGAAGAGCATCAACTCAGGGCGGTAATAACGACTACGCCATGACAGGCTAGGCTCGAATCCCTTGGACACGACGCGCGCCTCGCAGCGCTTCCCCCGGCTCTCCCCGGCGCCAAGATGGCCGTGTAGCGCTCGTCGCAGGGGGCGCACTGGACCGCGCATGCCCGCCCAACTCTCGGGCCACGCCTCCTTCGGCAGCCCGACCCACGCGGGGGGCGCCCCCCCCCCCCAACGCCGACTGAGCGCGCGCCGGGCGCGCACCAGCCTGCTGAATGTCGCGCCCTGGGAAGAGCACGAAGGCGTCGGCTGCTCCACTCGCCTGCGTCGTCGCAGGGCAAGGGGGGGCCCTGAAATGGCGCTACGTTCTTGTCTTGATCAATGACGTCGGATCCGTCGGAGACAACGCGCCACTTGAACTTCCCGTCTGTTTGTCCTCTGGGAACTCGGCTCTCTTTTCGGCGAGAAAGGCGAGGAGCTGGCCAAAGTGGAAAGCGGAAGAAAGCATCACCCCAAATCCTTTCCCGAACCTGACTCAGCTCCATGACCTTCCTCTGGGCCCATGCGTTGATCTCACGCAGTCTGCCCCGGTCTTTCTTCGGCGCAGCGGCGGCCTCGTCGCCGTTCGCCGCCGCGGCCTTTGTCGCTGGCCCGGCGGCGCAGGCAGCGCCGGACATGTCCGCGCCCCACATGAAGGACACAGAGAAAGGATTTGATTCATCACGTCGATCACAATTGACTGCGAAGGGTTGCAGCACGGTCGCATTCCCAGTTCTTTCCCCCGGCGCTGGAAGCCGCTCGCCATTTGAAGCCCCAAGGGCATGCGAGGGGCGCAACGCCGCCCGGCAGCCGCCGCGCAGGTCTGGCCCGCGGAGCCCCGCGCAGTCTTGCCTCCAGGGAGGGAACTGGGATAAATGCCCGCGCCATTCACGCCATCAGAGACAACGCCGTCGGTGTTCCTGTCTGCGTTCGACTTCTGTTCCTTCGTCTCATCTTCTACCGCAGCGTCGTTGACACAGTCAACGGACGCGACGGCAGATGAAAGGTTCTCGCCCACGGCCGACATGGCGCACTTGACCGGTGGACGCGGAATGGCCATCCCGATACCTTGCAGCAGGTCGGCGTTCGGCCCTGGGCCCTCGAGCCCAGACTCAGCAATGGTTTTCGCCCTAGCTGGGCCTCCAATCTTTCACCACCGATCTAAAAGGGCGCCTGGATTTGCCGAGCCCTTCTGGGCCCCCTGCAGCCAAGCCTTCCCATGCACGGGGTCATCAATATGAACGGCGTCGGGGGTCCGATGTCGCGGGTCACAATAAAGAACCGCGCGAATATGCGTCGCCTTGCCCCTGCCCGTCAGCGGTAGAGGCTGACTATGCTCTTCGCGAGACCTACTCACTGCGACGAAGTTGCGCTCGAAATGCTCGCCCATCTGCGGATTCCGGGCGGTCCGCGCCACAATCTAATCAAGCTCGGGCCCCCCCCCATCGGGGGCAGCTAAGAATCTGGACGGTCTCGCAAGAGCAACCTCCCCCCCTTCAACTCATGGGCCGCCCCCGGCACCCATGCATCGCACAGCCCCCCGCCAAGGTCCGGCAGGCAGCGGCGAGGCAGGACGAAGTACAGAGGTCCTCTCATCGTCCGTCGGGCCCCCCCACGCCGCTTCCACGGCCGCCTCGCCTGCCCCCATCGTCGCGGGCAGGAGGCGGCGGCATCCCGACCTCAGCCTTACTTCCAGCCGGCCCGCACGACGACGCGGACCCCCCCCCTGGGCGACTGACCGCCGCCCGGGGGCTCCTTCGGCACACCGTCGGCGACGTAGTCCCTGGACAGAAGGTCTCCCAGATCAACCGAAGGCATCGCCATGGAAGCGAAGTCGCAGGCCTTCCTCAACGGAAAAATGAGTAGCCCCCAGAGGCTCGTCGCCACCTATCCTGTCTCAGCCAGCTTCGATCCCTTTCTCGACGCCTATGTCAGTCCAAATGCGTTCCGACCTCTCCACGATTGGCCTCCGCCCGTCTTCTTTCATGCCCGTCTTGAACTGAGTCCGCCCAATTGATCAAGCGGCATGCAATAATGGTCGGGCCCCACCCGCCCCCCCGCATGATGACCATAGCCCAAGTAGATGCCGGCCCTGGTCCGAGGCCCAGTCTCGGGCAGCTCGACGCAAGACTCAGGAGGCGGCGGGCACCGCGCGGCCGAGACAAACGGCACTAAAGACCCATCCAAGGATGCGCCATCTCTTTGCCCACGCTGATCCGTCAGCCCCCCTCTCCTGCGCATTGCGACACAAGCAGAGATAAAGGGCAACGCATGCCTGGCGTGGAGCTGGCAAGCCCGCCGTCGCAACAAAAAAAGTTCTGGCCCCGTCCTGCACGATGCCGCTGGTTCTCTCCGCCACTGAGTTGCGCTTCTTGTCTGCGGGCAGAGCGGAATCATGAGCGGTCATAATTTCGCTCAAGGGCTGCACGCTCAGAGACTTGCATGCCCTCTTGAGTTCGGGCGCCACGTCCGCACAGATGCAGTCGAGCTTCTCGGCAGGCGCCCCGAGGTTCACAGGGGAATCGACCGCGTGCCCCGCCGACTTGTCGCGAGTGTTCTGGCCTGCCACGAACCCCGCGCACCGGTCGCGCAGCGCCACGCGCGAGGTTTCCCCGCAGAGCCCCCTCGATAGCAAATCAGCCGCAAACCAATGGTCCACGGCGCACAGGCCATCGAACTTCGTCGGCTCAGAGCATGGTCTAGTATGCTTGTAGGCCTTGTCATGATTCCGCGTGTGTTGCGTCCCCAACGTCTGCGCTCACTGGCACGTGAAACAGAAGGGATCATTGGGCACGCGCGTGCGCAGATGCTGCCAGGAGACGACCTCGCGCTGGAGGCGCTCGTACTTCGTCGCCCCCTCCGGCCCTGCTTCTTCCATTGGGTCGTCACCGCGGTCGTCGACTACCTCCACGGCCCCTGGCCCCTCGGGCGCCGCCGCGGCAATCCCTCCGTCGCCTGGAGCAGGTACCGCCGTCGGGCGACGAGGCGTAGCCTCGGCCACCCTCCAGTCTGGACGTCGCGCACAGGCAACACGGCCGCGGTCGGGGATCGGCGCCAACGAGGAGATTCTGCTAACAAGACCCGCGTCCACGTTCGTTAATCCAAGTCTCGCCGCTTCGCCGGGCTCACGGCAAGAGTAAGTGAGCATCAGACATCAGAGCAATTGCTCCGTCCGTGGACAGAAGTCCTTCGGCGCCGCCCGACTGGATGTCCAGCACGCCAATCGCGTAGGAGTCTTCTGCCATCACCTCACGCGAGCGCAGCTCAAGGGTTGCGCGGCGCCTGGTCGCCCGGAGCGGGGGGCCGCAAATCGCGCCAGCATCGCTCAGACTAGACCACGCGCCGATCTCCAGACACGCCCGCCGATCACGCCCAGGCGGGCCTGCGGGAGCTGCCTCGTCTACTTGGCCCAAGGCCCCCCTGCCCTCAATTGCAAGATAAGGGGCCCTGCCCTCGACTGAGGGATCCAAAATTCTTCCCCCGGGGCAACAGTAGGCACGGTGCTCTGCCAGTTCCACAGTGAAAACTGCCACCGCGGTGCACGCAGAGCTCTCCTACTGATGTCACGCTCGGAGTCTGCGGCATGACGACTGTCTCGATTCCCCCGCTATTCAGCTTGTCACTGGCAATCCCGACCGCGCCGAGGGCACGCGACTGGCCCCCCGCCGCACTCATGGCGCCGGGGGCGGCCAGCGGGAAGATCTCGCCCATCACCCCCGCGCCTCGCAGGCACCCGGCGGACATCGGGCCCAAAACGCAGCCCGCGTCGACGACGAACCGCGCGGATACAAGACGCGCGGGGCCCGTCTTCTCAGCCGCCTTAGCTCAAATTTCTGCGGGGGCGCAGCGGCGACGCGATCGCCGTCGCGCCCGCTGCCGGCATCGCCGCGCTCGCCATCGGACCGCTGCCCCCCGCCAACCCACATGCACCTGACCTCCTGCTCTAGGGCAACGGCTACGCCAAACGCGATATGCCCGCGAGCCTTCACCCTGCGCGCCCGCTTCCTAGCCCACTGAGGACCATGCTCGAAAAGATCCCCCCGCGCACTTGGCATCGATCTCGTCTCTCCACGCATCGATGGGGGAGCCCCGCAGGCCAGGCGCGGCGCGCTCGGGCCAGCACGCGCCTTCCTCTGCCCACTGACAGAAGGACGCCTCTGAACACCCGCCCGCTGTGACAGGGCGCTCCGGCTCGGCCCCGCGGCCTTCAACAACTCGAGGGCCGTTCTCGGGGGTGACGCGACCCCTCCAGCCTGAGGGCACCTCAGCAGCCTCACGGGTCGGCCATCCACCTTCCCACCTTGCTCGCGAGCCGGGACAGCCAAACAGTCGTCGTCACGTTCAGATGCGCAATGATCGCGGTCTTGACCATCTCCGCGAAAGTCTCGTCGAAGGCCGGCCACCCCGCCGAGCGGCGGCGCGTGGAACCCTGGTTCAGCGCAGAAAACTGCGGGAGCAGCGCATGCCGCCACCAACCTCCTCGCGGCAAGACAGCAATGCCCTGCCTCGGACCGCCCTAGACTGGCGCCGGCGACACAGTCACCGGGCGTCGGCCGGCCAGGTCACGGAGGTCCAGGGGCGTTGGACCTGCCCCAACAATCCCTCCCGAATGGGAAGGCCTTTCCGGCCAAGTGCCTCCAGCATTGCCGCTTCTCCTTGCCCTTGCCGCCCCCCTTCGACTTTTCCTTATCGTCACTTTTGCCCGAGACAGCGCTGTCTGACGCTTCCCGCGCTGCCGCAGACATCGGACCTCCGCCACGCTTGCGTCGGCGACCGCAAGCGAGCGCGCCAGCGGCGAGTCGAGTCAGAGCGGGCCGCGCAAAGACGAATTTAAGCTACAGCGGGAGGGCGGGGCCTCGCGCGGCACCTCGGCGGCCAGGCTGGCGAGTGGAGTGGGCTGGCGGCGGCTGCCAGGGAAGCCGCACTGCCAGGGGTCGCACGCATGCAACGAAATGCAGAGAGGCTGACTGCCAGGCGGGAGACTTCCAGGGTTTGCAAACAGCTGGATTGGATGCAAAGACGGGGCACCCTAAGGACTGCAAAGTACTAGGGTGGCCAGAGCCAGGTGGGACGAAGCCTCCACGAGGCAAACTGCGCGCGTGAACTGGCCAGCCAAGGCTGGGGCGCAGCCAAAATGGCGCGCGGAAACACCGCGGTGCGACCAGGGGAAAGCACCTCAAGGAAGACCTCGGCCACGCACGCAGCGGGCAGTTTTGCCGACCTCGCCCACGTGCGCCTCGCGCACTTGTCACGGGAGAGCTTCTCGCACTCGGCGGTCTGCCCGTGCTCGCGAGGACACTTGTCTGACGACAACGGGCAAGGGCCGCGGCTGCGTGCATCGCATGGCCCCGTTCTTCTCGGAATAAACGCTGGAAGCGCGGCATGGCGATCGACCCCGGCCCTGGCCTCCGCCCTCGGGTCGGTCGGCGGGGCGTTCTTCGCCCCTGCCGCGCTCTTCGCCCGCCCCCCTTTTTATGTCTCCTTTCTCCCTGTCCTTAATCTTCTTCTTAGTATTATTCTTCTTCGTATTATTATTCTTCTTATTCTTATTCTTCTGATTAATTATTCTTCTTCTCCCCACTGCTTCTACCACCATCCTTGCCGGCCTGAGCAGGCGCGGCCGCCCCGGGGGCAGCGGGGCCGCCGCTTCCTCTCGGGCGCAAGCCTTGACATTGCGCCCGGGGGCGCGGACACTTGCCCCGTAAGAACTCGCTGCAGGGAACCGACTGCGCGCCCGCCCACGCCGGCCCCTTCGCCTCCGCCGCCGCCGCCCGCGCCCCGCCGGAAGGCCGCGGGCGTTCAGCCAGCGTTCCCCGCCGTTACTCGCGGTTAATATGCCCGCGCCGCCCGCGCATGCAATCGCTGACCTTCGATGGCAACCATTCGTAAGTCTTCGTTCCTACACCGCACTCGTCGCTGCAGTGACCATAGATCGCTAGCGCGTTGCGCGCAAGGACGCCTCTGCATCTGTCGCAAGAAATGCACCTGGTTGACGGGGCGGAAAGAGCCGCTCTACTCCTCCATCTCATCGGGCGTTCTCACCCACTCGTTATAGGAATGGAATAGGTCGCTGTCTGCTTCGTTGCCCGCACCGCTGGCCCCAATCTCCATCAGGTCCGCGCACGCGCACCCCTGGTCGCGATCCTGACGGGCGGACACGCGGACGACAATGACACGCAGGATCTCACGACCCTTCATCATGTCCCTGGCGGCTTGCGCGGAAATGCCTAGCCTCTCTACATCGCGCTAGGTGGCGGAGCTGAGATCGGGATTGCCCATCCTTGACCCCTGACTTTCTCGTTGACTTCAGCCGCGGGGTCCGCTGCCATCATCGGGTCAAGCCGGACGAAGTGGCCGGGGCCCCTCAAATCTTCTGCCCCAGCGTTCTCGAGATCGAACGCGCCCGCTGCCCGCCCGACTGCCCCCGCGCATCTCGGCGATGCTGGCGCCGCAGTCCTGGCCACATTGCGCCGCCGTCGCATGGATTTGGCCGCGCCGGGGATCGCTTCCAGGACTACCTTCTCGGTCTTACCAGCATCGCCCCAGCGCTGCGCAGCGGCGGGAACCACGCCCGCGAGGGGGGCGGGGGCTCCGCCGTCTCCGCCGCCCCCGGGCGCGTCGCCATCAGGCGGCCCCCCACCGCGCCGCGCCGACGCCGGCGATCGGGGTCGCCGCCCCCCCCTCGCCGGGATCTCTCGGCCCCCCTCGCCCTCAGGCAAATAATCTTAATCATCCGAAGTCGCCTCGTCGCCCTCGTCCTTTTTGCTGGAAAATGCCGGGCAACCCCCCTGGACCCGGCCGCGAACATCCCGGAGATGGTCTCGCGACGACCTCGCGCGTGCTCAGCCCGGGCCTTGATATCCCTCTGCATCTGAGCCCCACGCTCAGCCTTCTTCTCCTTCTCCCGGGCCTGCCTTTGCACCGCGGCAGCAGCCTCGGCCTGCTGTTCACGCATCTCCTGCGCATTCGCCATGCGCTCGGCCTGCATCCTGGCGCGGCCCTCTCCCCGCTGCGTCGCTCGCTCGAGCATCTCTTCGAGTCTCTCAGTCTCGGCGCTGGCGGCCTGCTCGAACTCGAGCAGCCCCCCTCTGACTCTGCATCCCCCGCCCGGCGCCCATCGCCGCCCAAAGCATATCCGCGGGCGGGCGCGGGCAACGGCGGGCAGTCACAGGGGCCAGCTGCCGGCGCGAAGGCGGTAGCGACTCGCCTCGAGCCCTCATCATTTCCTCTCCAGCGCCCTCTCCGCTGCGCTGTCTCTCCGCGCCGTCTCTAGGTCGGAGCAACGGGCGCGCATCTCGTCCTCCGAGACAAAGTGGCCATAGCAAATGCCTTCCCAGCACGAACTGCAGTCGCGGGGCGCCGCCCCCGAGCACGCGAAGCACGACAGCGCGCCCGCGCAAGGGCAACGCGCACATCACCTCGGCGCGGCCGCCCCCCCCCCCCCCACCCCCACCCCACCGCGGGCGGCACTGGCGGCGGGGGGGCCCGCGCAGCGACAGCAGTCGGAGCCGCAGTTGACCCGGCCCCCGCAGACGCCGCCGCAGACGTGCCAATCGGGTTCCGCAGCATCTGGCGTTCGATAACCCCACGATAAAGCAGGCCCCGTTCGGTGCCCCGGCTCTTCGTCGTCCGCGCGGCCTTCTGCCCCGCCCCTCGAGCGTCGGCGATGACTACCTCCTCAGCGCGCACCTCGACCAGCTGCGCCCCTTCCCGGGCGCTCCGGACTTCTGCAGCGGAGCGAGAATAACTCGCACTCGCCTCTTGAGCGACAGCCCCCGCCCGGGATTGCGCGCGAAGCACTGCGCCCGCGCACGCCCCTCAACTGCCGCCCTCAACTCTGCTGCCCGTTGAACTGCGACTTCAGCAGCGGCGCGGCTTCAGACTGCTCGACGGCGGCGGCTGCCTCTGCGGCCAAGCGCGAATTCCGATCTTCTGCGAGCTGGAGCTCAGGGGCCGCTCGCGACACAGTCGCGCGCTGAACCTGACGAAATCCCGCGCGACGCGCCCGCATCTTTTGCGAGATGCTTCCCTGATGTTGCGCATTGCGTTCGGATGGAGCAGCGACCTCCAGGCCGTTGGCAAGCTCACGCATCTCTACAGTCGCCCCCAAGGCCTGCATGGCCGCTGCCGCCTGTCGGCGCCCCTCCAGAAGCTTCACGGCGTTCGTCAGAGCCTCGCGATCCCGCTCCTATTGAAGAGCAGCGGCAGCCTGTTGCCGTTGCTCTGATTGTCGGAGCTGCTCGCGCATTTCGGCTACGCCCCGCACTCTGGCCGCCGTGATCCCGCGTCTCTTCTTTCCATCGGCCTCGCGCCACTCGCGCGCGCGCGACCCCGCGCAGTCATGCGACGCCCGGGCACGGCACGTCGGGCAGGGGAAGCTCAAGTTGCAGAGGCCACAGAGCCCCGAGCATCCATGACATACTGGCTTCTTGCGGTGAGCTAATGCCCCAGGACACCGAGTTTCAGGAATCGCCGCACACTGCCGCCCAAGGTGAGCACACATCGCGTCGACGCGCATGCTGAACGCACTCGACTGGCATGATTTCGACAGGTCGGACGCCTCCGAAGGCGGCCCCGGCGCCATCGGCCTACCCCCCCCCGAACTCCACTTGCGGGGAGAGCGGGCCCGCGGGCCAGAAGTCTCGGGCATCGCGACCGATGGTCGAACACCCGGGCGCATAGCCCCCAGGCCGCCCCCCCGGAGCGCGCACGGGCCCGCCCTCGGGAACGCTGTAGGGCATCTTCAGCTTGACGAGCGGCGGCGCGATTGAAAGGCTGACCATCTCGCGCCCGTGCTAATAGGCGGCCCTGAATGGGCTGCCAACGGGCTGACCCCCCATGATCTCCTCGAGACCCCGTTCGAGTGAATAGTCGGATGGGAACGCGGCCCCCTCGCCATCGGGGAGGGGCGCCCGCGCGGCAAGTGGGTCGCCGGCCAGGGGAACAGGAGAACTGATCCCATAGACTTCAGCTTCCTCTCGCCGCGGCAGGCAGGCGCTTCCGTCAGCGACCAGTCTAGGCGTCGCCTTGCGAGAGAAATTCTCCCCCGACGAGATAGATTCCAAGTCCTGCTCGCCGTCCGAAAAGTCGAGGGCGACGTCGGTTTGGCCACCGATCGGCGGCGGCATCTGCTCGCCACGCTCGCACCAGTCGGGCCCCTTGTCGTCGTTGGCCTTCAAGGTGTCCGGGCGATGCTCATCGTCATAGGACTTACAGCTGATGTGTGGATGAAGGCGTTAACGTCGTTCCCCGACATAGTCGGAGGATGCAGCCCCGGGAACGCTCACACTTAAGCCGTGACATTGGTTTGCTTCCTTTCGCACATCATCCACCGAAGAGAAGAAAATAGTTCCCCCGTCTGGCGACATCGTTTCCGTCGACGATAGACCTTTCAGCAGATAACCCGTCTTATGCCAGTTCTCCGTCAACAGGGGCTAAACGGCAGAGCATGATCGAGTTCTTCGTGACGATACTATTCCTGTAACAGTTGCATGATCAAATACAAGCGATTACTTGGGGATGTAGTTCTCCCCGCCTTTGCTTAAGATGTTGTGCCGTTTAACTATGGACAGGGCTACGATCACCAGAGAAGGCCCCGCCGGCGGACGCGCGGGCGCGCGGCGGGCGGGGCGGTCTTTTCCTCGCGACCGAAACCGAAACAGCTTCGGTAAGTCGTCGATGTCTGGCGGCGGTTGGACAACGATGCTGAGGCAACGCAGGTGTGCGACTAAATCAATTTGAAGCTTGAACAAACACGACGTCGGAGAGGTATGTGCTGGATCCCCTGCTCCTGTTTTTCCCTTTCCCTTCTCCGCCTCCACCTCCTCCTCCTCCTCCTCCACCTCCTCCTCCGCCTGATCCTCCTCATCCCTCCTCCTGGGCCTTCTGTGGCTGGCTTCCCTTCCTTTCCCAGATCGATCCTCCGGCAGCGCCGGGGCCCGAAACGCGCCATCCCAGAGACCGAGATGGAAGGAATACCTCGGGCGCGTTCTGTTGCCGATCATCCCTGCAGGGTCGAAGCATGGCCTCAGGACTGTGGGTCAAAAGCAGGCGTTCCTTCGCCGAAGGCCCAAGGGCCCATGGAGATGCCCCAGGCGAGGCCTGTTCTGGGGTCCCTGGTGGAGGGCCCGAGCACGAACAGCACGAGGGGTGCCCCTGCATAGCCAGGTTCGTTCTGACCCATCCTGCCAGCTGTACCCTTCGGTCGGAGGTAGTAGGTAGAAACATGAAGCGGGAAGGCGAGTAGGAAACCTAAAGAGGAAAGGACAGGGGAAGCCACTCGATCATTTAAGCAGGAGGGCGTCTAAAGTATACTAGAATCTGGGAATGCAACAAATACCTGCTCTCAACGACCAATGGGTATGCCTTTATCGTCTCCCCCCGTCTCCCTCGGAAAAGGCAGGTGAGCCTCCTCGACCTCCGTCCGCAGCTCCCTCAAAACCTCGAGAGGGCGCGCCCCCCCGCGACCGCGCGCCGTTCTTCCCCCCTCACCTGGCGAGGAGTCGAAACGCCCGCCCACGACGCAGTCGGGTAGCCTCCGCATCCCAGCAGGAGGGGTGGGAGGAGAAGGGTTCTGAGTTCTAGGTGGGCGGCGGGGAAGAATCCTACGTATCCGTCGTAAGCAGTGCGGTTTCCCCTCTGGGTTTCCCCCCCCTCTCTCTCAGCTCTTTGGGCTCCTTCCGTGGAAATGGAGGAGGGAGAAGAGGGAGTAGGAGGAGGAGGGAAAGGAATATGGGATGAATGACAAAGTCAAGAAGTACAACTTTCATTGAAGTCGAATGTGTGGGACTTAGGGCCACAAGTAAAACGATCCAGGAACTCACGACGGCTCCAAGAAACCGAAGCCTGGTCGAGGACGATAGGAATGACGGTTAGGTCGGGGACATGGAGGATGAGGGTTAGACCAAGGATAAAGAGGAGCAGAGAAGGAGGGCGACTCAAGGATCAAGTTTGTATTGCGTGGTCCGTTCTTTGTCAACGTCCCTTGACTCCGCGCGTCGCGCCATGCGATGCAGCAACGCGCGGTTATCTCCACGCCGACGCGCCGACGCCCTGGAGAAACGCGCCTCCTCATCCTCCTCATCCTCCCTGTTCCCTCCTCCCTCCCCGTGAAATGGGCGGGAGCGAAGCGAAGCGAAGCATCCAGATCCGCGGAGGGTCTGCGCAGGAGGGCTGGGGACCCTTGGGGGTCAGCGTGAGAGGAAGGAGGGAGGAGGACGACGACGACGACGACGACGACGACGACGACGACGACGACGACGACCAGGACGACCGCCATCACGACGACGACGACGACGGCGACGGCGACGGCGGCGGCGGCAACGGCGGCGGCGACGGCAACGGCAACGAAGACGGCGACGGCGGCGACTGCGGCCACGGCGACGGCGGCGGCGAAGACGACAGCAACGGTGGCAGCGAGGGCCGCTGCCGCGGCGCGAGGCCCCGGCAGGGGAGCGGCTGCGACGGCCTGGTGCACGTCCGAACCAACCTCGGCGTATTCCCCAACGCGCCCCGCGGGCCGCCAGCACCGTGGCCGCCCGCGCCGCCGCCAGTGCCGCCGTCCGCCATCCGCCATCCGTTGTCCGCCGTCAATCGCTCGTCGTCGTCGTCGTCGTCGTCGTCGTCGTCGTCGTCGTCGTCGTCGTCGTCGTCGTCGTCCGTCGCTCGTCGTCGTCGTCGCTGTGGTCGTCGTCGTCGTCGTCGTCGTCGTCGTCGTCGTCGGGGTCGTCGTCCCTCCTCCTCCACATCCTTTCTCCCAGACTGAAGAGACAGAGGTACTGGTCAGTTTGACGCAAACACGGATAGAAACAAGTGGCACGTGTGCCATAGCTCTTGCACAAAAAGGAAGGGGGGGTCGGAGGGGTGTGCCGTGCCGAAATAAAGGGGTCGGGGCGGAGGGCGCGCTGGCTGGTGGGTGGGGGGATGCGGAGGGGGCGCGCGGGGGCGCGCGGGGATGGAGTGGGGGCCGTGCCGAAATCAAGGAGTCGCGGGGCGGAGGGGGCGCGCTGGCTGGTAAATGGGGTGATGGGGGGGGGGGGGGGCCTGCCGACATAAAGGGGTTGGGGAAGGGGGCGCGCTGGCTGGGGGGGATGCGAGGCCGGAACAATGGGGTGGGTGTGCCGTGCCGAAATACATTGGTCGGGGCGGAGGGGCGTGCTGGCTGGTGGGTGGGGGGGATGCGGAGGGGGTTTGCCGTGCCGAAATAAAGGTCGGGGCGGAGGGGTGTGCCGTGCCGAAATAAAAGATTCGGGGCGGAGGCGCGCTGGCTGGCGGTGGGGGGGATGTGGAGGGGGTGTGTCGTGCCGAAATATACATAGGTCGGGGCGGGGAGGGATGTGTGGCAGAAAGAAAGGGGTCGAGGGAGCGGGTGCAGGTTGGTGGTGGGCGGGGGGTGCGGAAGGGTGTGCGCCGTGCCGAAATACCAGGGTCGGGGCGGAAGGGTGCGCTGCGCCGAAATGAGAAAGGTCGGGGCGAGGGGGCGCGCGGGGGGGGGGGGATAAAGGGGTCGGGGCGGAGGGGCGCGCTGGCTGTTGGGCGGCGCGGGGTGATGCAGGACGGGGGGGGGGGGGAGGGGTGGGGGCGTGCCGAAATACATGGTCGGGGGGAGGGGCGCGCTGGCTGGTGGGTGGGGGATGCGGAGGGGGGTTTGCCGTGCCGACATAAATTGGTCGGGGCGGAGGGGTGCGCCGTGCCGACATAAAAAGGTCGAGGCGGAAGGGCGCGCTGGCCGGCAGGCGGGGCGGGGATGCGGAGGGATGTGCCGTGCCGAAATAAGGACGTCGGGGCAGAGAGGCCTGCCGTGCCGAAATAAAAAGGGTCGGGGCGGAGGGGCGCGCTGGCTTGTGGGTGGGGGGATGCGGATGGGGCGTGCCGTGCCGAAATGAATGGGTCGGGTCGGGAAAGGTGTGGCGCGCCGAAATAAAAAAGGCGGGGCGGCTGGGTCGGGCGGGGGTAGGGGTGTATTGTGCCGAACGAATGGGTCGGGGCGGGAGGTGCTCCGCGCCGAATGAAAAAAAGGTCGGGGCGGAGGGGCGCGATGACTGGTGGGTGGGGGAATGCGGGGGGGGGGGGGGAGCGCGCCGTGCCGAAATGACGGGGTCGGGGCGAGGAGCGGCGCTGGCTGGTGGCGGGGGGGATGCGGAGGCGGCGTGCCGCGTCGAATCCAATGGTCGGGGCGGAGGGGTGAGCCGTGCCGACGGTAAAAGGGTCGGGGCGGAGGGCCGCGCTGACTGGTGGGCGGGGGGGATGCAGAAGGGGGTGCGCCGCGCCGAAAAAAACGGGGTCGGGGCGGGGGGTGCGCCGTGCCGAAATGAAAAGATTCGGGGCGGAAGGGGCCGTGGTCGGTGGCGCGGGGGGAATGCGGAGACGGCGCGTGCCGCGCCGAAATAAAAGGGGTCGGGGCGGAGGGGCGCACGTGCCGAAATCAAGGAGTCGCGGGGCGGAGGCAGGGCGCGCTGGCGGCGGGCGCGGGGTGGGATGCGGAGGGGGTGTGCCGTGCCGAAAGGGATCGGGGCGGAGAGGTGTGCCGTGCCGAAATGAAAAGGGTCGGAGCGGGGGGGGGGGGGGGGGGGGGGGGGGCGCGCTGGCTGGCGGGTGGGGGGATGTGGAAAGGTGTGTGCCGTGCCAGAATAAAGTGGTCGGGGTCGGAAGGGTGTGCCGTGCCGAAATACAGGGGTCGGGGCGGCAGGCGGCTGGCTGGCGGGCGGGGGATGCGGGTGGGGGGGGGGGGGGAGGGGGGGGGGGGCGGCGCGGGGCGGGGGGGGGGGGCGCGTGCCATGCCGAAATACAAGGGTCGGGGGGGGAGGGGTGCACTGCGCCGAAAGAGATCGGGGCGGAGGGGCGCGCTGGCCGGTGGGCGGGGGGGGGGTGCGGAGGGGGCGCGCCGTGCAGATATAAAGGTGTCGGGGCAGAGAGGCGCGCCGCGCCGACATGAAAAGGATCGGGGCGGAGGGGGGCGCTGGCTGGTGGAACGCGCGGGCGGCGGGGGGGGCGCCGCGCAGCAATAAAGCGGTCGGAGCTATAGACACCCAGCGCAAGAGAATAACATCAAAATACTCCGCTCGAGCATCGCTTCGGCCGAAACAGAAGGGATGGATTGATGAATGAATTGGCCGCCCATGCATTACGGGCGAAAGCTCCAACACCAAGGCGCGCGAATGCGAGCTTCAAAGCGCCACGCCGCTGAGGAACAAGGTGCTTGCCGCGTGCCCCGCTGCGGATCAAGATGCTTCCACGTGCAATGCCGCCGCGGAACGAGGAAGAGCAGAAGGAAAGGAAGGAGGAAGGGAGGGGGGGGGGAGAAGAAGGAGCAGGAGCAGGAGGAGGAGGAGGAGGAGGAGGGGGAGGAAGAGGAGGAGGAGGAGGAGGATTAGGATTCTCTCGCCCCGCACCGGCGAGCGGCCCCCGCCCCCCTCCGCCGAGAAGCTGCGCAGCCAGCGAGCACTGGAGGGCAAGACAGCCCAGCCCCCACAGCGCGCACAGGCGGCCGCGCAGCGCGCACGCCGTCAGCCTTAGAGAGGCCGGGAGGGCAGCGAGGCGGGCCGAAATCACTGCTGAACCGGGGGGGAGTCGCAAAGAATAAGGGAAGCATTATCTCGCTCCGCCCTGGCAAGCGGTCTCCGCGCGCGCGCGCCGGCGCCTCCGCGAGCGACGGCGGGGCAGACCGCTGCCAAGCGCGAAGGGGCCGACGCGCTGCGTTCACAGGCGGGGCCCCTTGCCGCCGAAGGGCAGCGCAGCCACGCCCAAGCTCAAAGCCCTTGCGAGGTGACAAGGTCTGGGCGGGCGGCCGCGAGTTGGACTGACCAGGCTGACGACCCAGCAAGCAGAAACGAGGCACGCAAGCGACTGCTGGCGGAGGCGAAGAAGAGGACCTGAGCCCCAGCGGCCTCAGAGAGAGACGCAAGGACAGTCAAGGCAGCAGCGGTTTGGAGGCAGCGCTCAGCACTCGACGCCCGGCGCCACCTGCCTCGCCAGAAGACGCGAGGAACGTCTCCTGTAGCTACGTAGAAGTCAGCAGCGCCTGGGCCCCGAAGACAATCAGGGACCAAGTTCAGTCCAGCGGCGGCTTTGACGAGCGGAATGCCTAACGCTGAACGCAAGCGGCCCCACCGAGCACGGATGTTGCCAGCCCCGAAGGGGGCGAGCGGATCGGTGGAAGCGAGACAGGCCCGCTGACCGACCATCCGAACACCTCATGTGCTGAGCGGGATAAGAACGACGGGCCTTCGGCGCCGCGATGGCCAGGAAAGCGTCGCCTGTCGGCTCGAGACGGTCCGGCAGCAAGGACAGGTCGAACCTCCTTGCCCTCGCGAGTTCCCCTGGACGCTGAACATAGTGAGACCGAGCAGCAGCGCGGCGGCCATATCTGACCAGCCCAACCATCGCGCGCAAGAGTGCGCGAGGCAACGGTGGACCAAGCTCGGGAGGCTCTGCAATCTTCCACTGTTCGGCGACGTCCCAGGCTTCTGCAAGGAACGCCCCCCAGTGGGGGCGCGCTGACTGGGCGCCGAGCAGGGCATGCACAAGGATGCACGGGGGAAACCAGCGTCGCGCAGCCATGCCCCGAAGCTGGCTTGCGCTCGAGCCAGAAGCACGCCACTTCGGTGGAGCGCGGCTGGAGCCATTCTGGTGTGCTCAACGACCCGCGGCTCGAAGGCATTGACCGATCGCGATCTGCGATCACATGGGAATTCCGAACGGAAGGCGTTCGAGAGGCGCGGGGCCGCACGGCGCTAGGCCCGCGGTCTGCGGGCGCGGCGGCGGCCGCCGGGGCAGGAGGGCCGCCAACGGCCACATACACGCACAGCCCGCGCACGCACGAGAGAAGCAGGGCGGGCGCGGGGCATCTGCTGCCCCGCAAGGCCGCGCGGCCCGTCGAGAAGGCCGCCCGCCGCTCGCGCGACGCGAAGAACGGCGGCAGCCTCCCCTCGTCGACCCCCGACTGAGACGCGAAATCAGCGCGCACCTCTGCGACGGAGTCGCCAGTCGCGTCGACGATGCCCCTCGCGAGGCAGGCGTGCCGGCAGAATGCGCCGCGCGATCACGGCTGCGCAGCTTCGCCCCCGTCTCGGCAGCGCCCCGCCGCTGCGAAATACCCGACAGAGAGTCGCATTGAGACGACACCTAGACTAAGGTGCGAACCCAGGACATCCAAAAAAATGTTGGAATGTTAGAAAATCTAAAACCAAATCTTGACGCGAGGACATCTCCAAGCGAATCTCCCATAGAATATACCGAGATTTCTCGCCCGCGCAAAATCTCCCCGAGAATCTCCCGAAAATATTCCGAGGAATCCTTCTTGCCGCCGCTAAATCCCAAGCGAAATCTCAAACGACATCTCAAACGAAATCTCGCCTCTTGTAAACCCAACAAACGCAAAGAAATCTTGGGAAACCAAAATCTCAAACGAAATCCCGCCCAAGAACCTCCTGGCCAAAGTTCGCGCCGCGCGCGGAGCGGCGGCAAAGCGCAACTTCGCGGTGGCCGAAT